CCAACATGAATTCGAATATAACATGATTGGTGATTGGCTCATCTCACAGGCTTACGCGATCAGTTCATTAACCAGCACAAACATGAAGAAGGTCCCTTCTTACAGGATTTTGGATCCACTCACACACTAAAATCTTGCTACAATGCGGTATCAATTAGAGTTGTCCAAATGAGAAGCTGCTGCCCAGGAAAATGGAAAACTATCACAAGATGTTTTTAAGTATAGGTTGGATGACAATTTGTTGGGAAGCTGTAGAGGGATTAACAAATTTAGGTAAGGTATCTTCCTTCCTCTGAGATGCTGCAGCCCTCAAAAGAAACTGATAGTTTCATGATAAAGGCAGTGACAATGAATACATCAATAAATTTATATTAATAAACAATGTTATACTCTATAAAGCTTGTTTCTTATAAAAGTTGGGAGAACTTGTCAAGAGGTAGGAAATGTAACATTATTCAAATGCACTTTCTTTTACTTATGGCTACAAATACCCTTAAAGCAAAACAAAGTCTCAGACTTAACAGCAGTTGTTTCCAGTTAAAGCTAGTACTAAGCCAGAATGTCTAGCTCCCTTCCTCTACCAATTATTCAGTAAAATAAGCAAGTGGTTTTATACATGGCTGCTGAGAACTGAAAAGGGGCTAGCAATGTATATGACTTCAGAATTTTTAGCAGCAGACATTACTGATGGAAGCAGGGAAAGGTGAGGCAAAATAGGCTTGCCATTCATTGTACACGGAAAATGTGCCACCTGGGAGCCTAGGTCTTCAAGGAGTGAAAAGGGACTCTAGGCTAACCCAGAGCAAGAATGTTAGCCTGCTGGATAGGAAGGGAGGGTGCCTGCACTGGGTGAAGAGAGGGCCGTTACCTCAGCAGGCTTTAGACTATGGCAATAGGCAATGCAGACTAAAGAAAATATAAAGCCAAAGGAAAATCCATAGCTATAATTTTATTACTGAATCAGAAAGGGTGTAAATTGGACCTGAATAATTGTGAGCTAGTTTTCATTTTTCCCATTTAGTATGGATGTATATAATTCTCTGCAGAAACATTAATATGTTTAAAGTCCTGCTCCAGGCCCAGAACCATTAATTTCTGCTTAAAACATTGTTTTTGTTGAAGAAACCAGCTTATCTTAACATAATTTCTCAAATTTTGGATTTGGCTGGTTGCATCCCCATGTTGCCACTTAACATGTTCTTTTGTCTCCTGTAGCACCTGTGAACTGATAGGTAAATAGGTCACACTCCTGAAATACTACAAAATCACAGACAAACAGTTTCTTGGACAAGAATATTTCACAGGTGGTATTATTTACTCCTTTAACATCACATCAAGAAGCACATGTCTACTTGTCTACTTCTGTGATATTAACATTGATCAGCAGATTCAGGTGATTAACTGCTTGATCGATTCATTACAAAGTTATCCATCAGCAAAAAAAAAAAAGAGACAAAGGAATCTATGGATTAAAAACAATTTAAGAGACATGTAATCCAATGGATCTTGTCTGCTGATTTGAGCAAACCCACTATAAAACATTTTAATGAAATAATACTGCTTGGATATTTGATTACATTAAGAAATAAGAATATAGTATAGCCTTCCACAGACAACCTGTGAGTGAAGAGGCATGGTCGTACTCCCGTAGAACGTCACTTTAGCACATGGAAAATTCTAATTTCAAAGTGTTATAAAATTTTGTTGTTTTGAAAAAAAAGAATATAGTATAAGCATGATAATGGTACGGTGCTTATGTTTACAAAAGGGGTGTTCTCAGCTGGGCACAGTGGCTCACACCTGTAATCCCAGAACTTTGGGAGACTGAGGCAAGAGGAGTGCCTGAGCCCAGGAGTTCAAGACGATCCTGGGCAACTTAGCGAGACCTTGTCTCTACAATAAATCAAAAAATTGGCCTGGTGTGGTGGTGCGTGCCTGCAGTTGCACCTACTGGGAAGGCTGAGGCGGAAAGATCGCCTGAGCCCAGCAGGTTGAGGCTGTGGTGGCCGTGAACCTGCCACTGCACTCCAGCCTGAATAACAAAGTGAGACTCCAACCAAAAAAAAGGGGGGGTGTTCTCATTTTTCACAGATATAATGAAGAATGATGAAATATTTATAGAATTTGCTTTAAAATAATCCATAGCAGGGGTGGGGGTGGTGAAGAATGAGTGGCAGCAGAGATAAAATAAGATTGGCTTTTGTTAATCGGTGAAGCTGGATGATGGATATCTTTTCATTAAATGACCCTTTTTATATCTTTGAAATCATGCAGAATAAAAAGAAAAAAACTTTAGATGTATGAAATAATTAAATTCCAAATGTAATAAATAAATGCATGCAAAATACAAAACCACAAAATAAAAAAGAGTATAGGTTAATATTTATATAAACCTACAATAGGGACAGCATGATGCCAGGGGCAGAAGTTGTAAAGAAAGAAATCAATTGACTTGACCTTATACAAAATGCAAACTTCTATGAAAAGCACCAAAAGTAAAGTCAAAAAATTAATTGAAAAATACATGTATCATATGACCAAAAGAAGAAAAACACTTCCTATATAAAAAGGTATAACAAATAACAAAATGCTAAACTATCTCAAAATAAAAATAGCTAAAGATAATAAGCAAGTTATAAAAGAATTACAGATTAAATAGACATAGCTTTAATATTAATAGTGAGGAGCTGGGAACATGTGAAATAGTAATAGGCAACCAACTGAAGTAAATCATTATATACATACCTATACCTTAGAATATAAAGTAGCAATTCAAAATGATAGTAGAAAAATGTGTTTACTGCTAGGGAATATGCATCCACAAAGATATACACCTTTTCATTTTTTATAAAAAAAAATCATACACACTGATGGAAAGGGGTATGCAAAGAATATTGTTTCTGCTTAAAATTATACATAGAAGTTTTTATATTTGCTTTTCTGTAATGAATTATTTTTCTTTCTTTTTTTTCAATTTTTTTTATTGTGATGTTGTGGGGTACAGTTAAGGGTTAGGTATACAAATACATTTCATTCAGGCACCCTATTTATTAGAGGTGCTTCCCCATCCCCAGACAGATATTTGCTCGTTAATCCCATCTCCCCCCCCCAATAGTTTACCACTACTGTCAGTCATTTTCTTATAGTATTAGATTGGATGTTCAAGGTCCATTATATGAGTGAGAACATGTGATACTCGGACCTTTGTTTTTGTGAGAGGTCACTCAGTATTATAGATTCTAGTTCCATCCAGGTTGCTGCAAAATTCATGATTTTTAAAATCCAGTCCTCTTTTGATGGGCAGCATGGTTGCTTCCAGGTTCTTGCTATTGTGAACAATGCTGCGATAAACATACGTGTGCAGGTGTCTTTTTTGTAGAGTGATTTGTGTTCTTCCGGATATATTCCTATCAGGGGGATTGCGGGGTCGTATGGGAGGTAGCTATTTAGAGCTTTTAGGAATCACCACACTGCTTTCCACAGAGGTTGCACTAGTTACACTCCCACCAACAGTGTAGAAGTGTTCCCTTTTCTCCACACCCTCTCCAGCAGCTGTTATTTTTTGAGTTGTTGATAATTGCCATTCTGACTGGAGTTAGGTGGTATCTCAGTGTGGTTTTGATTTGCATCTCCCTGATGATTAGTGAAGTTGAACATATGAATTATTTTTCTAGTAACAAAGTCTTAAAAAATTCGTCCCAGCAATACAACTATAAACAGATTAAATATTCCTATCACGCTGGGTATGATGGCTCACACCTGTAATCCTAGTACTTTGGGAGGCAGAGGTGAGAGGATTACCTAAGTTCAAGGGTTCAAGACCAGCCTGGGCAACTTGGCAAGACCTCATCTCTATGATAAATAAATAAACTAGCCAGGTGTGGTGGCACATGGCTGCTTGGAAAGCTGAGGTGGAAGGATCGCCTGAGCCCAGAAGATCAAGGCTGCAGTAGCCATGAGCATGCCACTGCACTCCAGCCTGGGCGACAGAGTGAGACTCCAACTAAGAAAAATAAAATAAAACGGAACATATATGCCACCACGCCCAGCCTATATTCTAAAGTATTGACAAAAACTCCAGAGGTAAGATGGCATAAAAGAAAAACTGAAAACATCTACTAGGCTAGAAAAACAAAATCTTACCATAATTACTATTACTAAGGTTATAAAGTAAATGAATGCATACTTCAACTGTGTAACCACAGTAATTTGCACTATTTGTACCAAGACTCATTAAGGTCTTGGGTCAATAATACACGTATAATCTAACAAACTTTGGAAGACAATGTCATAAAATTGTCTTAAAACACTACAGTATTAGTTCATTACTAACATTTCAGATAAAGATAAAGAGGGCAGATTTCTTTACTCTTACCATATAATTATATGACTATCATACTTGTTATCTACCAAATTTTAGTTTGGAAATCAGTCCATCAAATTCCATTTTATTACATAATATACAGTTTGGCAATTTCCCATCTATGTTGTAAAACTGTTAACAAGAGCAAAATTCCTTAGGAAAAATGTATTTTTTTTTTTTGCCTTTTCAAGAAAAAATTGGGTCTATTGCTGATAAAGTTCTGCTTAAGAAACTATTCTAACAAAGGAACTTGTCAAGACAATCACCTTTAAAAAAATTTGAACATGACTATAAATTTGTCATTTTTGCTCTACTTCTTTCTGAAGAAGTTTATTAAAATTATTAAGAAGCCGGGCTCAGTGGCTCAGCCTGTAATCCCAGAGCTTTGGGAGGCTGAGGTGAGTGATTGCTTGAGCCCAAGGGTTCGAGACCCGCCTGGGCAACTTGGTGAGACCTCATCTCTACAATAAATCAAAAATTAGCCGGGCGTGGTAGCGCATGCCTGTAGTTCCAGCTACTTGGAAGCGAAAGGATCGCCGGAGCCCAGCAGGTCTAGGCTGCAGTGGCTGGGAGCGGCCAACTGCACTCCAGTTTGGGTGACAGAGTGAGACTCCAACTCAAAAAAAAAAAAATTATTAAGGAAATATAATGTGGAAGAATCGAAGAAAATACTTGCAATAAAAAGAATAGTCATTAACACTGGCTAATGCCACTAGGGAGGAGTATATTCCATATACTGCTGATAAAAATTATAGGAACCTGCTGGCAGTTCCCATAACCAATGCTGATATGTGTTAAGTCCCATAATGCCAAAAATGAAGAGTTGGTTCTATGAACTGTCAATAATAGTCTGCTTGAAGTCAATGTATTCATCAGCACAAGAATCCCTCTGATATTATTCCCTATGTTCAAAATTTTTTGCCATTAATCATCGATCAGATTCTGCAACTGTTGTGAGTATACAGCTAACAAAAGCCGAAAGTAGGCATCAACATTGACAGTAGTTTATTGATGTTTTCCTTGCAAATTTCACATTTTCTGATAATAAAATTTTGCATAGAAGTTGGAATTCAAAGGGTTAATTGTTTTACATGAAATCTTATGATGACAGTACTTTCATGAAAAAAGTTGTCTAGTAACATAAATTGCTTCTGCATCAGTTCCACAAACAAGACAAGGACCTAAAACATCCAAACTGTTCACGGACAAAGTCTTATTGGGAAGCAAACTTGTGATTTCAATACGGTCTTTTGCAGGATCAGTGCTGAGCCAGGAACTTATAAGAGACTGGTGAACATTAGCTTGGTTACTAATGCTATGAGACAAAAAAGTGCTAGTTCTTCCTCCTGAGGGAGAAAAAAGAAAAGGGAAAAAAAACCTTTGAAGACTATTTTTATACAGCAAATATCTGAACTTCTATTATTTCAGAGAGGTTGTGACTTCAATTCCCAGAACAAGCGAAATAATTCCATTATCACATATCACTATTTTTGACAAGACATATTCAGTGATATTAAATATACAAATTTCCATGGGATAATGTAGATACAAAATTTGAAGTCTTAAGGCAGAGTAGAAGATTTAATTTGACCCTTTCTGTTTGTCTTTCAATGGAAAGTTTCAGAAAGGCAGCAAAATGGCCAGAAGACAAGTAGAATAAGAAAAAGAGAAATAGAAACTGAAGGTAAGACACAGAAACATAAGCTTTGGGTAATAAAAATATAGATACTGAGAAAATTTCTGAACATATTTCTAGGCAAACATTTCTAAAAATATGTATTTTTTTTAATATTTCTAAAAATATAAGCCTAAGCAACATAGCAAGATCTTATCTCTATAAAAAGTTAAAAAATTGGATCGGTCTCAGTGGCTCAGCCTGTAATCCCAGCACTTTGGGAGGACTGCCTGAGCCTGCGGGTTCGAGACCAGCCTGGGCAACTTGGCAAGACCTCATCTCTACAATAAAAAAATCAAACCTCATCTCTACAATAAAAAAATCAAAATAGCCAGGCGTGGTAGTGCGTGCCCATAGTTCCGGCTACTTGGAAGGCTGAAGCGGAAGGATCACTGGAGCCCAGCAGATCAACGCTGGGGTAGCCGTGAATGTGCCACTGCATTTCAGCCTGGGCGACAGAGTGAAACTCCAACTCAAAAAATTTAAAAATTGGCAGGGCATGGTGGTATGTCTGAAGTCCCAGCTACTCGGTAGGCTGAGGTGGAAGGATCACTTGAGCCTAGGATGTTGAGGCTGTAGTGAGCTGTGATGGTGCCACTGCACTCCCGCCTGGGTGACAGAATGAGACCCCCAACTTAAAAAAAAAAAGCCACACACGGTGGCTTATACCTATAATCCCAGCACTTTGGGAGGCTAAGGCAGGAGTACTGCTTGAGCCCAGGAGTTTGAGACTAGCCTAGGCAACACAGTGAGATCTCGTCTCTAAAAAAAATTTTTTTTAATTAGCTAGGCATGGTAACCCACACCTATAGTCCCAGCTGCTCAGGAAGCTGAGGCAGAGGGATTGCCTGAGCCCAAGGTTGAGGCTGTGTTGGGTTGTGATGGTGCCACTGCACTCCAGTCTGGGCAAGAGTGAGACATAGACTAAAAAAATAAAATAAAATAAAACCTAAAGTCCTTATCATGGCCTACAAAGTCCTATGGCATCTGCCCTTCAGCCATCAGTCCTTATAGCCTATCATTCCCCACCTTGCTGGTTGAATTGCTACCACAGTGGCCTTGCTATTCTCTGCCCATCTCAGGCCCTCAGTATCTGCTGTTTCCTCTGCCTGGAATGCTTTCATGTGACATACACCTTCACTTCTTTCAGGTCTCTGTTCAAATGTTCTTTCTGCTAAGTGGTCTCTCCTTGTACCTCTCACTAGAGTAGCCCTCCTCACCCTTGCCTTTATTCTTTATCCTCCTACTCTGCTTTATTCTTCTTCACGGTAATTATATTTGGCCCAGTTTTATTCCTTTTTACTTTCAGTCCCCTTTCCTAGTTTTCTGTGTTCCACTATGTACTTAAGGGAGACGGAGTCTGCAAACTCCATTTTCCAGGCTCCCTTGCCATCTGTCATCCAGATGGGCCCTGCCAATGTGGGGTATTACTGGTGGTGACTGCCAATGCGGGGTATTACTGGTGGAAGGCGGAGGAGAGGAAAAGCAGGTCCCTTCTGGCTCCAGGTTCCTGGCAACAACACTGGCAGTAGTTCTAGCCTGGTTAGACAGCACGTTTTCTGCTGACTCAGAACCAACTCTGACAGCATTTCCAACAGTGCAGCAGCAGGGTATTAACAATTTTTGATTTATGGGTTCTCCCCTTTCTTCCTATTTGCTCTCTCAGCACCCCTCCTATTCCCTTTTGTTTTTTCAATCCTTCTGACACATGTGAAACCAATTCCTTCTAGGGTAGTTTCTGACTGGACTCTTACTGATATATTATCTATTTTTTAGCTGTTTGCTAGAATATTTGCTTTGTGTAGAGACTCTTTGTTCTGCTCACTGTTGTAGACCCCAGTAACTACAAGAATGCCCACCATGTGGCAGGCACATTCAGTAAACATTTCTAAATGAATGAATAAACAAGGGAACTTGAGAACCACAGACAAATCCTCAAAAACAGAAAGCTTGGAAAAATGTAAAAAAAATACACAAACCCTTGATTACAAGTGAATGGTTTCTGGCTGACCGTTGCCTACTCCTGACTTTAATCAGGAGATTGGGCCTTTTAACCTAAGAAGAAACCAGTACCTTATGATGTAAAAGACCTATTTTCTTCTTGCCACACACCACACCTTGGCAATGCAATGCAAAAGAGTTGCCAATGTCTATCCTATAGCATGAGGGCCCAGGTCAATGGCACTTACATCCTGGCTGTCTGATGTGAGCCAGTTTACACCATTTCTAGTCATCAGCAGTACAGCAATAAGTGACTGACAGATTTCCAGCCCTACAATATTCAAATTTACTCTGAGGCAAGAAAAGGAAACATCTTGCCATTAAGTTAAAAATATGGGAATATTTAATTTGGTATTTAAAAGTATAATAAAATTACACACAAGACTCTTCATTAAAGTTTTACCTTGGTGAAACAGTGATGACTTTTCAGGTACATCTGTGGAGGCATCCCAGTGCCAGAGGGATCCATCTTCAGAACAAGTAAAGAGATGATCTGGGTTGGATGGGTGAAAGTGAACTTCCCACACTAAAGAGGTAAGAACCAAGAAGCTTATTCTTGTGCAGATGAGGTGAACAAACAACATGAAAACCCTATCTCTAGGCATCTTCTTTCATTAACTTCTATCACATACCTTCGAACTTCAAGTCCATGACAAATATAAAAGTCTTCAGAATTAAAGAAAAGACATAAAATAACTTTCTAATGGCTACATGTAGACTGGAAAAAGAAGCCAAGTAAAATTATTTGTTGTATTGGGCCAGAAAATGAATGAAAATAACTACTAAATCATTTTACCTATTATATTTTTTTAATGGAAAAGAATGACCATTTTTTTAGGAAAAAATATTTTTAAAAATTGGTAAGTTGCCTTATTTTTCAATTCCTGTCATTAATATATGAAAGTTATATTATTGGAAAGACTGAGACAGAAGACCCCAAGAGGAATATGCAACTAGATTTCTAAGAGGCAGAACCCAATATCAGTTCATGCCAAGAATCTGGATACTTCTGGCCTCTATCACAGAAATAGCAACTGGCTCCTAAAAGTCAAAACTTAAATGTTCCAAGAATTTGGTTCCAGTTTCCCATGGAGAGCTTTTATTTTTAAATTGTATTTGTTAATTGTTTATTTATGAAGAGAAACTATTTTTTTAGCCCACATTTCACGTACATAGTTCATGAACACAGGTCAGTGATAAACTATGTAATTCAACCTAAATAAATTCTTTCTATTCCAAAATCACTTTGCACTCTGAAAAATACCAGCCTTCCTCGTCTCTTCCAAATCTTTCATGGAATCATATTTCTGTAGAAATCTGTGTATGATTTCTTTCTTGGTTCAGCCACATCAAACTTACAGAAATATCCTTCCTGGCTGATGACATATGGACAGTCTGGAAGGCTTTTAAAAAGTCAATGGGGATTGACCCCTCACCCAGCTGTGAACTTTATGAGAACTTTGTGTGTCCAAAGACATCGGGACCAATGACTAGTCAGGAGTCCTTAGAAAGAAACCTGCAGCATGCAGATAAAACAGGCAGTCTGTGAACAAAGGTTCTATGAGTCTGGGCTAGGTGACTTTAAATAATCAGTATAGAAAGTGCTTAAAGTGTGGCATAAAAAGTGAATGGCAGCCAGGCTCGATGGCTCAGCCTGTAATCCTGCGCCTTTGGGAGGCTGAGGTGAGTGGACTGCCTGAGCCTGCAGGTTTGAGACCCGCTTGGGCAGCGAGACCTCATCTCTACAATAAATCAAAAAAAAAAAAAAAATCAGCCGGGCGTGGTAGCACATGCCTGTAATTCCGGCTACTTGGAAGGCTGAGGCGGAAGGATTGCTGGAGCCCAGCAGGTCGAGGCTGCGGTGGCCGGGAGCGGCCACTGCACTCCAGTCTGGGCGACAGAGTGAGACTCCAACTCAAAAAAAAAGTGAATGGCATATGACTGTAAGGTGGCAATCTTCATTCTGACAGTTATCACAAATAAATATCATCCACAAAACATAAAAAGGTCACCTTCCTCAGGAGAAGGCAGCGTTCTAGGTAAGTCCCTGTAAAGTACATTATAAAAAGTACTGTTTCAGACGGGCTCGGTGGCTCAGCCTGTAATCCCGCACCTTAGGGAGGCTGAGGTGAGTGGATTGCCTGAGCCTGCAGGTTCAAGACCCGCCTGGGCAGCAAGACCTCATCTCTACAATAAATCAAAAAATCAGCCGGGCGTGGTAGCGCGTGCCTGTAATTCCGGCTACTCGGAAGGCTGAGGCGGAAGGATCGCCGGAGCCCAGCAGGTCAAGGCTGCGGTGGCCGGGAGCGGCCACTGCACTCCTGTCTGGGTGACTGAGTGAGACTCCAACTCAAAAAAAAAAAAATACTGTTTCATTCAAACAAAAGGAAACAAAACAGCCTGTAGAACCATGCACAGATTACTCAAACTTAGATTTTTTTACATATTTATTTTCAAATTAGAAAACAGACCTTTACAAAACATTTCATTTCTAGCCAGGAGTCAAGATATGAGAGGGGGGACCTCCAAAAATACCAATACTTATTTACTTAAAAAACTGTGTATTTACTGTTACATGTTTAAACTTCAGTCATCTTCAAACACTCTCTATTTGATGCAATATGCCTATTGAGACACTTTTCCACTGCTCAAAACAGTTTTTGAACTTGTCCATTTTGATGCCTTTTAGTGCTTCTGCCATTTTTTGTTTCACCTCTTCCACCTGGACAAACGTTTCCCTTTGAGAACTTTTTTCATTCAGGGAAACAAAAAAAAAGTCACTCAGGGTAAGACTGGGTGAACTGGGGAGGGTGGGGCACAGGGGTCATGTCGTTTTTGGTTAAAAAACTGCTGAACACTGAGGATGGTGTAGGCAGGTGTGTTGTCATGGTGGAAGAACCAGTCACCTATTTGCCACAACTCACAAATGTTTCTTCTACAAATTGTGACGCAATTGTCTCAAAACTTCCAGATAAAAACTTTGGTTGACCGTTTGATCCAGAGGAACAAATTCCAAGTGTATTACAAGGAGCCCACCCTCCAAAAGATAATTCTGGTTTTTTTTGGGTCCCCCCTTATAAATTTAAAATAATACATTATAAGTCATTGCATTTGTATGCATTGTGTAACAATATATAGACAATTTTATTCAGTCTTTAATATAAACTTCTTCGAAATTGAAATTTAAAAATATAATCCAGCCTGGCACAGTGGCTCACACCTATAATCCCAGCACTTTGGGAGGTGGAGGCAAGAGGACTGCCTGAGCCCACGGGTTTGACACCTGCCTGGGCAATTGGCAAGATCTTGTTTCTACAATAAATCAAAAAATTAGCTGTATATGTAGTTCCAGCTACTTGAAAGGCCAAAGCAGAGGGATCGCCTGAGCCCAACAAGTAGAGGTTGCCAGTGGCCAGTCATGAGTGTGCGACTGCACTGCACTCTAGCCTAGGTGACAGGGTGAGACTCTGACTCAAGGAAAAAAAAAATATATAGATAGATATATAGTATATTATATATAATATAGTATATTATATATATAATATAGTATATTATAGTGTATAATTATATAATATATACATTATTATATATTAATATATATAATTATATTATATAGTATATTATATATATAACATACTATATATTATAATATAGTATAATATATAGCATATTATGAATTATATAGATAGTATATTATATATTAAATCCATTCTAGCATGATATCAAAGACAAAGTAATAAAATGACAAATTTTGGTCCATCCAAAAGAAAAAAAAAAATCTGCCAGAATAAAAAGATAATGCTGGGCACGGTGGCTCATGCCTGTACTTTGGGAGGCCGAGGTGGGAGGACTGCTTGAGCCCAGGAGTTTAAGACCAGCCTAGGCAACATACTGAGATCTCATTTCTTTTTAAAAAAAAAAAAAAGGTGAGCTGGGCATGGTGGCGCACTCCTGAAGCCCCTGCTACTTGGGAGGCAAGGCAGAGGGATTACCTGAGCCCAGAATATTTAAAAATATTTTAAAAAGACAGGCCAGGCACAGTGGCTCAAGCCTGTAATCCCAGCACTTTCGGAGGCGGAGGTGAGAGGATTGCCTGAGCTCAGGGATTCAAGACTAGCCTGAGCAACATGGCAAGCCCTCATGTCTACAATCAATCAATCAATCAATCAATTAGCTGGGCGTGGTGGCACATGCCTGTGGTTCCAGCTACTTGGAAGGCTAAGGTGGAAGGATAACCTGAACCCACCAAGTCAAGGCTTCAATGCCATGAGTGTGCCACTACACTCCAGCCTAACTGACAGAGTGAGACACCAACTCAAAACAAACAAAAAACAAACAAAAAATTTAAAAAAAGCAATAGCTTATATATCTATTGTTCCTGTTTTTTAGAAAAACATGCAATAATAAATTGAAGAGCACAAGAGATTAGCTAAAATGAAAAATAACTGCCTGCATTTGCTTGGGAAAAGGGCATTCTTGTACACTTCAGTATGGCAATATAAACTATATGATTATTACTTCTTCTAATAATGAAAAAGAGATGAGGTCTCGCTATATTGCCTAGGCTGGACTGCAGTGGCTATTCACAGGCATGATCATTGTGTACCATGTCCCTGAACTCCTGGGCTCAAGTAATCTTCCCACCTCAGCCTCTAGAACAGCTGGGACTATAAGTGTATGCCCATTGTGCCCAGCTTAAACTGGTATTATTTTTATGTAGAACACTCAGACAATATATTACAGCTTTAAAATTACACAAAGAGTTTATAACCAAGTCTTGGAGATGGTTAGTAAAAATAGGTTTAGCATATCAATTCTACTTCTAAAAATTTATTCTAATATAATGAGTATATAAAGATGAATATCTAAGGATATCCACTACAGTTTTGGATATAAGATGAAATGTGTTAAAAAACTTAAATGTCAAAAAGGAATTACTTATTTAAATTTATACAATTTAATCATTAAATAATTCTTATGTATTATTATACAAAAGTGCTTATAATACATCATGTAAGTCACCCAATAAAAAATTTCTGTATCTCCACAATACTTACTTTCAGCTTCATGAGCCTTCAGCAGAGATACAGGCATAGTACCTTGTCTAACATCCCAAATACTCAACATTCCATCCTGGCCACCGGTAGCTACAACATGCTGTTGGTTAGGATGTCTATCAACACAGTGAAGTGGCACTCGATCACCAGTCCTTTTATGGGAGATACAATGACATCAGATATATTGTAAAGTATAACTTATCTTTACAAGATAGTATAACTTAAATACACAAGAAAAATGCTTTATGTAGTAATTAAAAGACAACTTAGTGGCTGGAGATACTGGCTGAATCTTAAGCCAACAAATTGACTAGATTGAAGATATTTCTAAATAGTACAGTTTTGTTTTCTTTTTTTATTTTTTGAGACAGGGTCTCATTCTGTCATCCAGGCTGGAATGCCGTGGTGCAACCACAGCTCACTTCAGCCTCCAACTTCTGGCCTCAAGTGATCCTCCCGCCTCAACCTATGAGTAGCTGGGACTGCAGGCACGGACAACCACACTCAGCTAATTATTTGTTTTTTTGTTCGGGTCTTGCTATGTTGCCCAAACTGGTCTCAAACTCCTGTGCTCAGGTGATTTTTATGCTTTGGTCTTCCAATGTACTGGAATTACAGTCATGAACCATTGTGTTTGGCCTAAACAGTACAAGTTTTTTAAAAACTAAAGGCCAAAATTATTCATTCTCACTTCAACTTGGAGACATAGAATGCAAGAAAATTTAATGGTAAGATGTAAAAAACACATTTCTATTTCTTAGTTTTTTAAAAACATCATATATCAACTATACTAAATATTTACATTAAATGCTTAGTTTATATAATCATTTTATTCAGTTTGAAACATTCTATTTTCTTGAGAGAAAAGAAGGTTTTATACCTAAAAAGTTTCTGCTCAAAAAAATATCTTGAGTTGTATTTTGCCCCAGTCACATCAAGAGTATATTTTATCCATTAATGATGCAATCATTTAAAGAGCATACATTCTCCATTAAATAATGTAAACTTCAAAGAATCGAGACCAGCCTAGGCAATTATTTATTTTTATTTTTTGAGTTGGAGTCTCACTCTGCTGCCCAGATTGGAGTGCAGTGGCCGCTTCTGGCCACTGCAGCCTCAACCTGCTGGCCTCTGGCGATCCTTCCGCCTCAGTCATCCAAGTAGCTGGAACTACAGGCGTGCGCTACCACGCCCGGCTAATTTTTGATTAATGTAGAGATGAGGTCTCACCAAGTTGCCCAGGCGGGTCTCGAACCCGCGGGCTCAGGCAATCCACTCACCTCAGCCTCCCAAGGCGTGGATTACAGGCTGAGCCACCGAGCCCGGCTGGCAATTTAGCAAGACCTCATCTCTACAAAAAAATAAAAAAAGTTAGCTGGGCGTGGCAGCACACCCCTGTAGTCCCAGCTACTCAAGAGGCTAAGGAGAAAGGATTGCCCGAATAAAGCTGTGGTGGGCCATGATAGTGCCACTGTACTCCAGTCTTGACCGAGTGAGACCCCGACTCCAAAAACAAACAAACAAAAATTTAAAGAGTAAAGGCTCTGAGTAAGTAATACATCAGTAACTAAATGAAGCATGGCAGTGTCAAGTCCATCAAGTTATACTTGCTCTATCAAATTTAATCAGAGATCATTCTCTTCAAATGCTTTTAAAATACAGTATGGCTTAAAATCAGTTCTAGCTGGGTATTGGTGGTTCATGCCTGCAATCCCAGCACTTTGGGAGGTGGAAGCAAGAGGACTGCCTGAGTTCAGGGGTCTGAGACCAGCCTGGGCAGTTTGGTGAGATGTTGGCTCAACAATAAATCAAAAAATTAGCCGGGCATGGTGGTGCGAGCCTGTGGTTCCAGCTACTTGGAAAGCTGAGGCAGAAGGAGCCCAACAGGTCAAGGCTGCAGTGGCTGTGAGTATGCCACTGCACTCCAGCCTGGGCAACAGAGTGAGACTCCTACTCGACAACAAAAAAATAAACATAAGCAAAAAATAAAATAAAGTCAGTTCCTACAGACAACTCAGCAAATTATTTTTGGATTACACTGCTGAATTTTCAAATCAAAACTTACAGTGACAATATCTGAGAAGGCTCATTTCCTTGTTGTCTGAAATCCCATATTTTTAACTGTCCAATTGAATTTACTGTAAGAATCTCAGGAGTTCGAAGGAAGGTTACAGCATGGAGTGTACTGCTATCTGCATTGTCTAAAAATTTTAAAAATGGTAATGTGTTAGTAGGTCCCTTTTCCCCCAAGAAAATCTTAAAACACATTTCTTCTATGGATTGAAATACTACAAATACAATTTCTTTTTCTTTTTTTTTTTTTTTTTTGAGTTGGAGTCTCATTCTGTTGCCCAGACTGGAGTGCAGTGGCCGCTCCCGGTCACCACAGCCTTGACCTGCTGGGTTCTGGCGATCCTTCCACCTCAGCCTTCCAAGTAGCCAGAACTACAGGCGCGTGCTATCATGCACCACTAATTTTTGATTTATTGTAGAGATGAGGTTTAGCCAAGTTGCCCGGGTGGGTCTCGAACCCGCGGGCTCAGGCAATTCACTCACCTCAGCCTCCCAAAGGTGCGGGATTACAGGCTGAGCCACCGAGCCTGGCTAAATACAATTTCTAATAAGTCACAGTTTAAAGTTCTATAGAAAAATGCATGGTAACATACACGTTTAAATGGATTCTCTCTGGAAAAATATTGGGCAACCCCCTCAGGTCCCCTCCCACTGTGGGAGCTTTTCTGTTCTCTCAATAAATCTTACTTTCAAAAAAATAAAGAAAGAAAAATATTGCACACAGGACATATGAACTGTTTTCTAAATTGAGGATAGGGTTTTCACATATTCCTTTTTCTCTATTTTCTCTTAAGATTGCTACCTTGCTGGGCTCGGTGGCTCAGTCTGTAATCTCAGCACTTTGGGAGGCCAAGGCAAGTGGACTGCCTGAGCCCACGAGTTCAAGATCCGCCTGGGCAACTTAGCGAGACCTCATCTCTACAATAAATCAAAAATTAGCGGTGCGTGATAGCACATGCCTATAGTTCCGGCTACTTGGAAGGCTGAGGCCGAAGGACTGCCGGAGCCCAGCAGGTCGAGGCTGCGGTGGCCAGTGGCCAGGAGCGGCCACTGCACTCCAGTCTGGACAACAGAGTGAGAGTCCAACTCAAAAAAAAAAAAAAAAAAAAAATATTGCTACCTTGCATTTCTAAAATAGTTGTTCAAGCTCTTCTATATCCAATCTTATATCCCACTAGTCCCTAATCCAGAACTTCCACTCTATTGGGCCAAACTCCAGTTCTTCCTACAGAGACCTTATATTATTCTGCTGACTCATCCCAAATCTATTATCTTTACCCTCATTAACTTTCTCCTTCTCCATGAAGTCCTTCTTGATTGTTACAATGGCCCTTTTCTTTGATTTCCTAGAGTGTTTAGAATATATGGCACATAATTTAACATATTCTTTTTTTTTGAATTGGAGTCACCCAGACTGGAGTGCAGTGGCCGCTCCCGGCCACCACAGCCTCGACCTGCTGGGCTCCAGCGATCCGCCTCAGCCCTCCGAGTAGCTGGAACTACAGGCGCGTGCTATCACATCCAGCTCATTTTGATTTATTGTAGAGATGAGGTCTCCCCAAGTTGCCCAGGCGGGTCTCGAACCCGTGGGCTCAGGCAATCCACTCACCTCAGCCTCCCAAAGGCACGGGATTACAGACTGAGCCACCAAGCCCAGCTAACATATTCTTTAAACTTTTGTTTTGTGCTACTCCTCTACACTGCCACCAACTGATGGTCCTTAACAATTAAACAAGTGATGTAACTCAGAATTGAAAATTGTAATAAACACAAGAAGCTGATGCATGGGCTCAATTCCTATAGATTCTGATTCAAGAGGTACTGGGTAATGGACATTAAAAAATTTCTTCACCAGGTGCGGTGGCTCACGCCTGTAATCCCAGCACTTTGGGAGGCCGTGGCAAGAGAACTGCCTGAGCCCATGGATTTGAGACCAGCCTGGGCAACTTGACAAGACTTCATCTCTACAATAAATCAAAAAATTAGCCACGCATGGTGGTGCACACCTGTGGTTCGAGCTACTTGGAAGGCTGAGGAGGAAGGATTGCCTGAGTCCAGCAGGTTGAGGCTGCAGTGGCCATGAGCATGTCACTGCACTCAACCCTGGGTAACGGAGTGAGATTCTGACTCAAAAAAAAAAAAAAAAAATCAGGCAAGTCTGATTGAAGGTAGTTGAGAACCAATATAATAGAATCCCCTGCTGAAAACTTTCAATAGCTCTTTGGTTTTCAACCTAAAAAAATGTGTGGCTTTGCATTGTGGACTCTCTGCAACCTGGTCTCAATTTACCTTTCTTGCTTCATGTTTCATCTTTCCTATATAAATATTTAAAGTCAGGTCAATACACTTTTTGTCATTTTCTGACTGGCTTTATCCTCCCTATTTCCTTTGTCTGATGAGTCATCTTTTAGTATTACTTATGGCCTAGACCCTAGATAAAACTATCACCTGCTCCCTGATTCTTTATGTGATAATTCCTTCTAGTCCTGTACCCCTCAAGATTTCTATCTACTGTCAGTCACTCATACGGGCCTCATCATCACACTGTTGTGTCAAAGGCATCCTGCAGTGTATATTTTTATATCCCTCAAACATTTAACACTATGTTTACTTAGCATAAAGTTAAGTATTCAATTATTATAAAATGGATGAAAGAAATATAATGCTTTTTCTTACCTATAGTTCTTAGAGCTTCCTTGTGATCTGCTCTGAAGAAATTTATTCGACCATCTTCTCCAACAGTGACAATTTCTGGGTTGCTGCATACAATACCTGTGCATGGTGCACTGCTATAGGAAGGACTGCCTGGACCTGTGTGGTAGTGAGCTGCTGTCCACTGCTGGTTGACTGACAAAGTCTAGGCATCAGAAATGAGGATACTATTAAATCAAAGTTCTAAAGAACTAGCACTTTTTCCCAACAAGAATATCTTTAAGTGCTGTCTCATAACTTTCTCCTTTAGGGTACAGAAACCTAGAAACTACTTCCATCAAATCTCTGTATACACTAAATTAGATTTAAAAGAAATGTTGTTTATTAATGTCTCACATTTATCTCAAACTACAGAAATGGTTTTTAGGTATCAAGTAGTTAAATGTTCAAAAGCAACTCTTTAAATTCTTATGGGAATGAGTATACATCTAAAAACTAAATTTCTATCCCTTTATTCTAAATGACTCCATTAAGACAAGTATTTAACAAGCACTGGATCTTATATTTACCAGACACACTTATTAGTAAGGTAGTCTTTGTTAATCCTGTACTTTAGGTCTAAATTAACAGAATTTATTTAAAGAATACCCAATTTCAATAAAAGCAAACACAAATATGGTTCTAGAATCAATCTATCAAAAAGTAGGTAATATAAGTGATATTTTTCCCCTTCACATTTTAAAACTATAAAGCTTTACTATGTGTGTACTTATGAAACATAACCTTCCTAAAACTAATTATAATACAAATTTGCTTTTCAAACATAAGTTCTTTACCTGGTTATTCGGATGGTGAAGAAAAACTGTTACGCTTCCTGTTGATGAAGCAGCTACAATCCTTTCTTGGTCAAAAAACTAAATAGAAAACTTTTGCTTGTTAAAGATTCAGAGATACTAGTTAAAAAGAGGCCTATTTATTTATTTAACTACATGAGCAGAAAACCCTGGAACAGTTTTAAAAAGTAAAAGGCCTGTAAATGCTAGCAAATAAAGTGTGTCAATAGAATTTAAAGTCAAAACTGCTAAACAAAAGTATTTTCATGAAGAATAAACAATAATATGTTTTTCCTAAACACATTCACCCATAATTAATTTTGGACCACCACAATTAAGCTTTAGAAAAATATAATTCCTAGGGCTAGGCAGCTTTTTTTAGAGTAAAATGCAGGGACTCTTCAGACCAGGATTTGAAAACTTCATTTCATCCCCACCACTTAATATTGGTTTTGAGACCTTGGTCAAGATAAGTTCTCTAAGTCTTGTGGAGGGAGGGGTGTTTACTAATCTCCATTTAGGGAGTTCTTATGTGAATTCAAAAAACAAACGATGTAAACAGCCTTGCACAGTATTTGTCACATTACAAGCTCAAAAGGCATTAGTATCAGTTTTCCTCAGTGGCAAAACAAAAGTAACAATACTTGATTCATGGGCATGCAACAAGAATTGACTTTTTGCAAAGCACCCAAAACAGAGCTTAACACAGAGTAGATGGTCAATTAATTAAAAATGATAATGAAGTCTACATCCCCTTTCCCAGTCCTGATTTTGCCACTAAGTGGCTAAATGAAGCTGGGCAAATCATAACTTATAGAGAACTCAGTTTCCTATAAACCTGGGGTAAGACCAGGCAACTTTAAGGTACTCTACATCTTTAAATGTATTAATCTCAAAAAGTCAGTTTTTGTGTACAGTAAAGATTTACCTGTAAATCCATTACATCACCATGGTGTCTGATATCACACAATAATTGATGGTCTCCTTCAAATCCTCCATCAGAGTCCAAGTTTCCAAAATCTCCAATAGACCACAGCGAAACATAGTTTTCCTGTAAAGCAAAAAATTTTACCTTGAGATGACATACACATCAAAGTTGTGTTGCCTTAAGGCAACCTTGCTCAAAAAGCATCTCGGAAAAATGATATGGTGAGAGTTTCAAACAAACGAAAGCCAGGACTGGAGGCTCACACTTCCAATCCCAACACGTTGGGAGGCCGAGGCGGGAGGACTGCTTGGGGCCAGGAGTTTAAGACCAGCCTGGACAACATAGCGAGACCTCGTCTCTACCTCCCACCCCCCAAAAAAAATTTTTTTAAAACAAAAACAGCTGGGGGTGGTGGCTTGAGTCAGTAGTTTTAGTTACTCCGGAGGCTGAAGTCCAGGAGGTAGAGGCTGTGGTGAGCCATGATCGTGCCACTGCACCCCAGCCTGGGACACAGAGACCCCCGACTCAAAAATAAATTGAAAAAATAAAACGCACGAGCTACGAGACTCGGGAACACCATCGCCAGCTCTGAACTACAAGGCAATCGAGCCTGAGGCTGGAGCCTGGGGGACTCAGAAGTGCGAAAGGAGCCGGAAAATGAGTTAGCGCGCGGGCGGCCGGGGACACGGCTAAACTGGAGACAGGGAGGAGGCAGGGGCTCCTGACCCCGGGAGCGGATACCTCATTGTCCCAAGAACCTGTAGCGAACGTCTCCGCGGTCTGTAGGCTCCCTGAGGGCACCGGTCGCCAGCGGGTTTTGCTGATTTTCTGAGACACAAACTTTGCATAAATTTCCTCCATGCCCAAAGCAACTGCAGGAGGTAGAGTAAGAAGCCAGCGCTACGCGCACCTCCTGGCCCCGCCCCTTCCGGCGGAGCCCTGATTGGATGGGGTCTCCAGAAGTAGATGGTGGCTGAAGAGAGCCAATTCTCATCCGTAACCGTTGTAGGCACGACTGGCGTCCAAACCGGAGGAACCTGTCAGGTTCATCCTCACCGGGGCCGTTATGAGCAGAGGCAATAGCATCTGGGCCCTTGTGTCCTACACTGATTTTGTTCCTAAATCTGCAAAATCAGCATAGGAACACTGAGACATTCATTTATGCGATAACCTTGCAATGTAAAACTTAAGGAGCAAAAATAAAACAAAATCAATGCAGAAAAAATCACCTTGTAACCACACTTAAACGTTCAGTTGCAGGTCATAACGCATAGAAAACGATTCAAAATTCTTAAATTCTCATGGAAGTACCTCGGACAAAGTACCAACTTATTATTCTAAACTTCTCCTTCTTGTCCCCCAAACAAATCTTTGCTTCAAAGTTAAAATCCACTGTCAGGGCCTGAAATTGGAATTCCAAGACTCCAGTTTTAGTTTTGATGCCAATTGCCTAGCCTTGGTCAATTCACTAATGTATATAATTAAGAATGAGTTTGGTGATTCTAATGTCAACCACACAGGAATCAGTGTAATTATTGGTTACACCTGTAATACCCTTCCATTCCTCTCTACTTCGAGGATCAGTTCCTTTCTGTACCTTTTCCTGATGCCCCCAGTCAATGTTGATCTAAATAAACATAACATTTGATATGCAGACCACAAATGACTCATATTTTTGTCTTGTTGTTAGTCTCCTTAAGCTGTATATCCGTCCAGTTAGACTGTAAATCCTCCTGAAGACAGAAAGTATGACTTACCCATCTTTCTAACCTCCTTTGAGCTATAGGTATTCATAATTGTGTGTTGGTTGTTTCTTTTAAAAGGGCTATGATGTGTTGCTTATCTAGCTGATTTTTTTTTTAGTTAAACTTTCTCTGTATGCTTTTATCTGATACTGATAGTCCCACTTCAAAGTTAGTTTATGGAAGCACTACATGTAAATACAATCCATGTATTCAGTTTTAGAGACAGCTATCTGGTTCCTAGCAAGGACCTGACTCCCCACCCCCAACCCCAACAGGAAGACCATCAAGAATCTGTAGAGAGATGAAATGGAAAACTACTAAATTTTGCTCTAATATTGAAGTAAAGACCACTGTTTTTGCGTGATTTCATTTATGATCACAGAATCCCAGAAAACAGGTAATGTGTATTTCAGATTAGAAGCAGGCTGTCACATTTGACAATATCTGATAAGAAATAGAACTTTAATATTGCTGCTGACAGTGACATAGGTGTCTTAGCTTTGTTTCCGTCCTAAAAAAAAGTTTACTAGACTAAATGTGACTGGTTTCTGTCAGTCTCTGTTCTAATTAGGAGTCAGCAATTTGGATGCGACAGGCAATGTTCCCGGTCGGCTTCTCACACGTGGTGTTGCAGAGTTGATGGCAATAAAGCTATGGTGGAATTTGCGAGACTTAATTAGTTGGAATCGCACACTTGCACTGGTAGAATAACACATTCAACATAGGATACCATGGTATTTCTTAACCAATTGCAACTCTTTACGTCTGAATTGTCCTAAATGAGCAAAGCTTTGCCTCCCACACCACCCCCATGCTATGGTATTCTTCCACTTTGAATTCGTGCTTTAGGGAACAACCAGGGTCCCAAAGTTTCTGCTTAACCAGTGACGAGCTTGTCACAAAACCAGAGGATGGTGTACTCGGGTTAGGGAGGGCCTTTGCCCTTGGGGTCTATGAAGATGATTACTCTGTTATTCGGGCTCCACCACAGGGAGCCTTGACTCTAACCGATCCAAATATTAGTCAACTGGGTTGGGTGAGGTAGGACCGACGAAGCCCACCGTCTAACAATCTGAGCAGCTATAGGAGCAGATCCGCCGCTCGCAACAGCTGACCCAGCGGCGGCACAGATCGACCCCGCCATCCCGCCGTCGCACTCGATCACCGGAGACGCAGCCAGGAACGCGACCGACCACGCCAGGGGCCACCTGGCCTGGCCTCAGGGCGAAGGCGGTGCGCAGTCCGAGGCCTCAGAAAGGGACACTCAGCGGCAGCGGCGGCGCTGACTCAGCTC